AGCTCCATTGGTTCCTATGGGCGGGAAAAAAAATTCACCATAAATTAACGAAAAGTCAGACCAAAGCCAAATCAGGTTTGCACACGACTTAGGGGGTCCTCTAACGAATCCAAGCATTTAGAACCATTTTTGACCCTTCTAAGACACTTTTTAAATTGAAAAAAGAAACATCGTTAAGTGAAGCTGGGGACCTAAAATCGCATTCGTTATGCGAAGCATGGTCCCAAACTTCGCTAAGCGAAAATTGCCCATAGGAAACATTGTTATATGGTGCATATTATTTTCTAAAAAACCACATTGTTATGCGAATTCATCGCTAAACGAGGCACTCGTTAAGCGAGGCACCACTGTATTAAGGCAGAATTCCTTCCCAGATCCAACTTCAAGCACATCAAGGGTAGTTTGACATTTATGCTGCCGCCTTCTGCCAATCTTCCTACAGAGTTAGGCTAGCAACATTCTAGTCTGGTGCCCTAGTGGCACTGAGCTTTTGAAAACCCTCCTTCCACAGGAATTGTATTCAACATCTTCCAATGAAGCCACTACTAGAGATCAGCACTTACCATGGTTCAGCGCAGTTCAGTGGATCAGGCCCACGGGTATTGTGTCAGTGCCCTGGATTGTGCACCTCACCTCCTCCTGTGGGTGTTCCATCAGAAATACTGCCACTGGCTTTCCTGCCCTGCCTCCTCTGAGTGGGCACCCATGGGAGGAGGTGGGGCGTGGAAGCCAGGGTACCTGTGCAACACCTGTGGGCCCAGTCCACCAAACCCCACATGGTAAGTGCCCATCCCTAGCCACTACCCATATTTTTTAAAGGGTGGCCATTAGAGATGGGAGCATTTGTATTCATCCTCCTTCCCACTGCCTGGAGTAGCCAGCAGAGCAAGAAGTGAGCAGAACTCTGGGAGTGATTGGAAGGATGAGCAAGGCTGCTGCCACCACTGGATGCATGACAGAACAGACTGGCCACAGGGGCCAGTCCCTCATTAACTCCAGGTGCACGGGGATATTCGTATTCTAATATCTCCATCTCTAATAGCTATCCATTGATAACTGTCCTGATCAGCAAAGGGAAATATTGAGTATTGCTTCTTCCTGTTACCTAAGCAATCTGGGCAAGATCCAAAAGCCTGGTACAAGCCATACAATTTTATCTGTGGTGAATATAACTGACAGCAATTATAAGAAGTAAATTATACCTCCTATCTTAAAAGCAAATCACTTTCCTTGTGCCTTTGCTGCAACAGCAACAAAAACAGAACATTTGTTCTTCAGCTTTTGGAATCTGAGGAAAAGGCACCAAATAAAAATACCGGCCTATTTTATTACCCCCCAGATACTTTACAGCCTTCATACAGCCCCAGCAAAATGCAGCTTCCTGGTAACAAGCAGATGGCTAGAAGCTAGATAGCCTCTTCCCTTTATAAACAACTTCTTGTAGCCCAGAGCAAGTGCTAGCCTCAATGTGATGATCACCTCCCTGTTTCAGCACCACAGCAAAAGGGGGAAAAAGTCTTATCTGAGCCTAATTTTTAGAATTTAATACATCTCTAAGTCAATGCTTAGCATGCCTTTGAAATTTATTTAAACAGGTTTCTCAATTATCTATGCAGAATCTCCAAAACAAATGCTTTTGAATTAGTCCTGTTCTTATAGAAGACAGTACTGTATAGTGAAACATAACACTTTTTGAATATCAAATCAGTTACCCAACCCAGAGGTGTTGGTAACAGAGCTGAAAGAGGAAAAAGAACTGCACCTTTGAAAATGAAACATAACAGAGGGTTGCGACTTTTTTTCTTACTACAAAATGACATTATTTTCTGGGATACCAACAATAATTTCTGGGATACCAACAACCACTTGAACATCTTATGTCAGATCTGATTCGGACAACTGACTTTCCCATGAGTCCTATAAGATTTACAGACCTCCCAGGTAAAGAGAACAGATTCTATAATTATCTCAATAAAGGATTAATATCAGAATAAAACCAAATAATCAGTCACAAGCTGTTTGTAAATTCATCTGGGTATCTCATTATGTCTTCATTGCTGCAATAATTCCAGGTCACTCCAAAACTTGTTAATTCTGTACAAGTTCCATTTATTTATATCATTTCTAGGTTTCATGCTTAAAAGCAGCAAATCCAAAAATGTCAAAGGCAGTCTTCCAGTTATGAGGAAAAAACTATATGCAGATATACTTAAATGCAAAAGTCATACATGTAAAACTATAGGTTAAGAATACTTAAAAATTCAAAAAACAAACCAACCTGAACTTAAGCTTCGAACAAATACTTGTCAGAAAATATATCTCAGTTGTAAGCATATACAGGCTTACATCGTAAGCATATAAAGTAGCGATACAAAGTCCAGACAAGAACTTTAATCATGCTTGAATTAAAAATACAAAACATTAAAACACAGGAGCTCATAGACTATAAAGGTAGAGAATGCATCTCTATAACACTTCAAAGTTTTTTAAGAATAAAATCTTAAAAGCAAAAAAGCCTTATAGTTTTCCATGACAGGCATGAAAAAGTATTTAAGCTTTTAAAAGTCAAAATATACAAAATCAAAAGCATTCCTTAGCTCTAAGTATGTTATTAACACAGAGAAAAACATTCTCTCTAAGAAGAGAAAAGCTCACCCTAGCCTTCTCAGCCTTTATCTGTGTTATTTCCATGGCTATCTCCTGGCCGCCCTCACTCTGTCTTTGTCTTTTCACTTGTTTGCAAGTGGCTGTGGTTCTTGGGAGATGTGCCTTGGTAGATGATCTCGTAAACATGATAGAGATCTCTGTGTAAATACTTTTGATGTTTTGAGTTAGTCAGAACGACATGAAGCAGAACTTTTGCTCTCTCATGGGTAAGCAATGCTAGCTTGTTCAGACAACTAGGTTACAAGACAGCTACTAGTGGAGACAGCTATCTGCCAAGCTGTGTGAAGCCCAAGCTGTGTGAAGATGCCCCCACCTTTGGAGTAACTTCTTCAGAACCATATTTGGACAGTACGTCCTGAATGACTGTTACATGCTTTTACATTTAAAATGTTTCATTCCTAAATACTACATAATATTATATGAGTTCTTACTCCACATTGTTACCACACTAGATTGGGAAATTATTCATTATTTGATATGAGGCTAAAGCTTTATTAAACAAAAGCAATTTTTCAAAAGGACTTTTCAATTTTAGAGAGACATTTTTGCACTCCTTAAAAAATTACATATATTTTCCTGCCACATATTTCTATTAAAAAGCCATAATTGACACATAATTATCCTTTCTTCAGTCATATGGGCAAATAATAGTTCTTTGTTTTAAGTTTCCAACACACACACTTGGGAGATGACAGGAAACACAAACAACATGACCAAAGTCTAACTTCAGCACTTTTGCAACAAAAAAGTTGCGACTTAAACAGTGATTTTAACATCTTGTCCTCATCATCTTCTCCCATACATTTGGATTTTTAAGGAAATCATGCGTACTTATAAAGGAAAGGTAGTTGTTTATGTTAAAGAGACAGGCCATGAATACTACACAAACCAACCTTCCCATGGTATACTGCTCAAAGTTTGCTCCGAGGAAGCATATTCTCAGTTTAGACATGTTCCACATAAAGTAATGTTCTACCTCCTACTCCATGGAGGTAGGTGGATTAAAATACCAGATTTTCACCCCGTAGCAGCCACTCTAAAAGGCCCAAATAGAAATGTCAGGCTTTCATGATGCAGCAGGATCAACAGATATAATCATAGTATCAGTTAATAATAACTGTAATAAGAACAGTGGCTGCTAGAGATGGGCATGAACCATGGAAATGGCGGTTCATCTTGGTTCATGGTTCGTCAAAGTCCACAAACCTTGAATTTCCAACGTTTTCCCTGATGAACCATGAATTGCTTTGTTCATTCATCAGCCACCTTATTATTATTATTAATTATTAGCAGGTCAACTTTATAGAAATGGTCTTTTTTTTGTAGCAGATCTGGATGGATGGAAGGGACGTTCTTGTAAATGGATAAAGCCCTCTTTTGCTTTTTCAGTACAATTTGCTTTTTAACTTTGTGTGCATATACTCCCAAATATACACAGACAAATACTGCTGTCCGTGTGGAGTGTGTGTGTGTGTGTGTGTGTCTTTTTAAAAGTCAGACAGCTGTTTTTTTTTTTTTTAAAAAGAAGCCAGCTGCTTCAGCGGAGGCTTTTTGTTTTTGTTTAGCAACTGGTGGCTGGCTGCCTCTGAGCATGCACACCTCCTCTCAGCTGATAGGTCGGCGCATGCGCATAGTCGGCAGGCCCAGCTCCCAGAAGGAAAGCCAGGCCACTGTCTCCAGAGACGGTGGCGGTGGCAGGACAAAGTAAACAATTTCACTTGCAAGATACATCATCTAAGTGCTTTCTCTTTTTTTGGTTACAGCATAGTCAGAAGTCAAAATGTCACACTAGGAAAATATCTAACTTCTCTCAATACACCAAGAACTCCCATAGAAGGAGATGAATCAAGAAATAACAATGAGATAAACACAGCTACACATCCAACCAAAAGAAAAAAAGAATTAACCCCAATAATCAAAAAGAAGCAGGAAAATGTCACACATATTATTCTACTATTCCAAAGAAACTCAGTGGAAAATACTCTTTATCATTATTTCCAGGAGATTTTGCACCTTCACATCAGGTCAGTATCAGCAAACTAGACCCCAGAGTGAACAGAAATCATGACACAACACCAGAAACCACAGCATTACAGCAAAGATCTACTTTCCTAGTAAGTGTATCTGGGTCTCCAAAAGCTCTTGAATCTGTCCTTGAGTATGCTATCTGAGTGTGCTTATTGGTGCAGTTTGTCGTTAGAACTAAAGGGACACTTCACCATCCATTCACATACTGTATATCATTTTGTGCATTTACAAACATACGCAATAGAAAAATGTACTTTTTTATAACCTCCCAACTAGAATTTGACAATTAAAGGGGTTACATTTACCTGTGTGTTGCTGAAAAGAATGTTGCATTCCTTTGCAGGAAGATCAGCGCTGGAAAAAGGCTGCAAAAAAGCAAAGCAAAGCAAAACAGTAAGGTTGCATGAAGATAGATTAAAAATATTTTAAATCTAGTTTGATATCATGGAACCTGAAAGTTCAGTTAGCTGCCTCTTTATACTCATTGTCTTAAAGTATTGCCTTTTTATTATGATGTATACACATTGTTTTCAGATTTAAATATTGTTTTTCAATAATATAAGCCACCTAGGGTCGTTTTCAGGAAGAAAAGGGGGGGTAAGAATATTTTAAATAAATAGAAGTTCTAAGATTATTAGAACTGTTGGATAGCGCTAAGAATAGACAGACGGACAAGTCACATTATATGCATGAATAAGGTTCATGTACAGGAACAAGCTCATGAATTCCATCTCTGTCATTTTCAGATAGGACCAATATATCTACATTTCTTTGTCTAATAAGTTGGAGACCCACTACTATTATGAGTACAAAATATTGGTTGGAAGGGGACCAACTGGTCTCACTCAATATAAAACAGCTTCATGAGTTCAGACCGAGTCTCTTAAACTCACTTTTTTCATGGCTTCATATACATTTTCCTGATCTAAAACCACTCGAACACAGCAGAACAAGAGAAGCCAAGGAGTTACAGATTGAGGAATTCCTAATAATAGATATGCTATTTCAAACGTGGTTCAAAATTTAATAAGGAAAGACTATGATGCTGAATCCATGTGGACGTTGATAGAAACGGTGTAAAAGAATGGCTTTGGCAGATGTTTTGAACAATTAGATATTTTGACAAGTACTTTTATTGAGAGAAACAACATGTGGCCTCATCTTTAATTCTGTTACATATTCCCAGTGACCCAAATGTATATACATATTATGTATATACACAGTGTATAGCCAGTTTCAAGACAATGGTTCTCTTGATGACCATCTCACCAAGGCAGTTAGGAAGGTCTATGAAGCAGACATGAACTACACATTATCAGTAAAAAGCACCAATATAGTAGCATAAGATTAAAATCTTAAACATACTTCATAGAATAATCTGATTCAAATATATCAATCTTAATTCTGAGTTTTAAAAAAAACTTAGGCTTGAGATGAATCAATCCTATATAAATTGCAATTCTGCTCTGATATACTGTACGACTGTCTCAAAGCAGCTGGCAAACCAGCAAATTTCTTTGAAGAGTAAGTCAATGACAACTCCAATGATAAGATATTTGTAACCTTGTGAAGTGCAGGAAATAAACAAGAAAAACAACCACATCTATCTAAGCAAGAACTGAGTCAAGCTCTTTCTGTGTAGCACATAAATGCACTCCTCCCGCAACCCACATGTCAACAATATTATGGAGCTGTGCTTGGCCTTGCCAAAGGATGTAAAAAAGTGTGGGATTTTGGTTTTGTTGCATTTCTCTTACTTGTACTCTCCCCAGAACCTTTGAATCAATTTGCTAGACTTCATCTTGTCTTCTCACAAAGCAATTTATTGGGGAGTGGGCATTAATTTTTTTTTAAAAAAAGAAGTAGGGATTTTTATGCACTATTAATTTAAGTAGGTTTCTATCTTTTTCCAATTGTGTATATTTTAGCTATTCACATTTTTAATACAAACACATACTTTCAAGGCAGGCATTTTGTGCATACGTTTACTAATGACCACAGTACGGTTGTATTTTTCAATTTGTTCTATTTATCATCCTCTCCATGGGAAGCAAGATGGCATAGACTCATGTTGGCATTCCCTTGACAAAAGATGCAACACTTCAAAGTTCACACAAATCTCTTCATTAGTGTTAATGTTACCTAAATGAAGACAGGAGGGCCTGGCGTGCTCTGGTCCATGGGGTCACAAAGAGTCGGACATGACTAAACGACTAAACAACAACAAAATGGAGTTAGTCTGTGGTCAAGGACAGAGACACCCTATGAGCCTGCAGGGTATGACATAGATGTCAGCCTGCCCAGCATGACACTTGGTCAGTGCCTGGAATGGTCCTGTGCAAGTCAGTTTGGGATTAGACCATTCCTGCGTTGAGCAGGGAGTTGGACTTGATGGCCTTGTAGGCCCCTTCCAACTTCACTTTTCTATGACTTATATGATTCTATGAAAATACATATTATTGGAGTGGGATCATATTGTTATGAGTGACAGAGTGACTGTGGGTTCCAGAAAGACCAGCACCTCAGAACTGAGAAGGAGAAATCGCAAGGGAAGATGGCATAGTGTACCTAATACAGAGCTGCAAGTTACAGAAGATGCAAGTTACAGACAGAGATAGTTTCTGTACCTAATACAGAGCTGCAAGTTACAGACAGAGATAGTCTTGTTATTAATAAGAGATCGCTGCGTGGGCAAAGGTTTCGTCTTGCGCACTTGTTATGACCAGACAAGAGAGAATTGAACTGGAGCAAGAAGTCCAAATATAACTGAAACTGGAGAAAGCAGGCTTAAGAAAGAGGAAGCAGCCTAGCTGAAGCCAAGTCTGTGGCAGAGGGAACAAACTATACATGTGAATGCTTCCTGCATGACAGCAGATTGTATCTGCTCAGGAAGCCTGGGTCTGCCCCCATGTGCTTGTGCCAGCCCAGGTTTAGCCCATTAATACAGCCCATAAGGAAGAGACCTATAAGAAGGATGACCCAGGAAAAGACAGGTGGGCTTTGACAGCGCTGCAACGATTGCTCCCATCATCCTCTCTGAGGACTGATCCCCCATCAGAGGAGGGCCTTTTGGATGAATGAGTATCCTGTGTGAATGGGAAGTATGAATGAGACGCCTCTTGGTACCTTTTGTCTTATATCCTATGTCTGATGTCTCATCAATAAATGTTACATGAATAGTGCTTAACCCAAAATTATTGGTGTATGGTCTTCTTGTCAGTAGTCTGGCTGCTCTCTCTCTCTCTCTCTCTTTCTCTCTCTCTCTGTCCTCTCATGGCCCCTCTCCCCAGGATATAAAGAACAGTAACCCATTTGGGGTAACAATATGTGATGTGAGCCCCTGCCAGGTCAGGACCAAGTACATTGTTAGCTACTCTACACACATATCTGGGAAGCAGGTTAATAGTTAGTCCAGGATCAGACTACATGGGAGACAGATCTGGTAAACTGATTCCCAGTAGATGTGGAGCTGTTGGCATGGGGCAGATGACAGAAATGGCAGAGAGGGTTGTCTGAAAACTAGCAAGATTATCCATATTAAGACTGCCTCTTCAAATCTGTATGGCTAGTTCCCCACTGGGAAACGCTTTGGAGTGGGTCCTTCCTATTCTGTTCCCTGGTTGACATCACCACCTAAACCTTTAGTCTGCTGCCGGGATCTTTTTGCTCCCTGCATCTCCAGTGGTGGTCTGCTTACCCTCTGGAGCCTAAGAGAACCCCCAGCTTCACTTTTCAGGGCTTCATCATTATTCTGATTTTTATTCCTTTGCCTGGTCTCTTATCTCTCCCCTCCTTTCTGGTGCTAGTAGGCTTGCTGCAGTGCAGCTCCTTTCTCTCACCTTGCTCCTTCTCTCCACAGTATTACAGTTACAGAAGCATTTATTTTCTTTCACCTTTGCGTTTTACCAGTGGTTTCTGTAATCTTCTGCTGGCCATGCCTACATCTCCTCCCAGTATCATGTTGCATGGAGTGGGTGGGTTGGAGAATGACCCTCTACTATGTTACACGTTTATCTATATTTTTAATGGTTAATTTTAAACTCTAAGCTCTATGGAACATAGAAGCAATGTGGACACATAAAGCTTGTCAAATTGAACAAATTAGCCTGGAATCATTGAAACAATGAAAAGAGTCATAACTTGATACACAGATGAATTTTGATATGAATGGAAATAATTGCCTGATTTCATTCTGGAATTAACCCTAAATAGGATAAATTCCAGCTGTGATGAACACAGGCTTCTGATCTTTTTCCCCCCTAGTGGTTATAAAATTCTATAGGGCTCCTAGGAGGATGTTCTGACATCAGATTCCCTGACTTGACACATGGTTCTCTGTGCATTTTATTTCTCCAAAACATTCTCTTTGAGAATAGGAAACAGATTTCACTCATCCCACCTTCTTGTACATATCTCAGACTTCTGTGCAAAATCTGGATTATATATAGTATATCCTGCATGCTTTAAGGAGATTATATGAACACAGGTGTGGCAATTCTGTCCATGCTAGCCAGATGTGCAGCTATATTTGTAAACATAATTAGTAGCATGTTTGCACGATGAACGGCTGTGAATGCCTGAATGACACAGTTGCATAGGCTGAGTGTGAGTATGATTGGCAGATGGCTGATAAAATGTTGAGTGCAAGGTTGAATCTAGATAGGTTGGTGTGATGGCAATTGAGAGAATGCCAGTCTGTTTTGAGAGTCAATTCTTAAGGGTCTGCTGGAGAATCTAGTAAAGAGCAGAAAGAGTCAGGGAAAGAGAAGGAGGGAGAGGGAGAGGCTGCTGTCACACCAGCAAAATGTTTCCAAGTTACTCCTCATGAATTTTGACCCTTTTTGGGGTTCAGACAATGTTCCCCCTCCATGCTATCTCCTCATCAAATCCACCCTGCTGGGAGGCTACTAGTATATTTCTTTTGTTTCATCACACAGTACAACTGACATTCCATTGAGTGTGTACAACTAAACCGAGTCATTTCCTTTACATCTGGCATGCAGTCCCACCTCCCCTACCTACTTTGGATCGACTCTCTTTTTTTAAAATTTTCAAATAGGAATGTTGGAGTATTGGTATTCTTCTGTCAATTGCAGCTTGAAGTACAAGAGTTCACAGTGAGTTCTCCTCCATAGAGGTTAATGCAGCATGGGAATAGGAAGAAATGGCACAGATTTGTACATGGTCAGGAAGGACGGTTTATATATATCATGTCAGGATTTGGTATGCTGCTGTCATATGCGGCTTGAAGTACAGTGGACCCTCTACTTATGGAATTAATCCGTATTGGAACAGTGGCTGCAAGTCGAAAAGTCTGTAGGTCGAATCTCCATTGACCTACAATGCATTGAAAACCGATTAATCC